AAGCTCCAAATAAAGTAAATAATATATCCGTTTCGATGAGCTCGATGAGCTCTTTGCAATGGTACACTCCAATTCACTATTTGAGATAATTTTGTTCTGTGAAAAATTAAATATCCTGCGAGACAAGTGAGAGCACCAAAACTCGTGAAACTTGTTAGAATCAAACCCTAGAACTTTGTTTGGTGATGGAATTAAGTATATATGCAGGTTATGTTGATGGTTTACAATTGGTGTTAACGACCGTCAACACTATGATTATTGGAAGAGAAAGATGAAGATGTATCTTGGTTCAATCAATGACCAAGTGTGGGATGTGACTGAGAATGACTATGCTATCATTGATCTTGACAACCTCACCAACTAAGACAAGACCAACAAACAATGCAATACAATGGCTGTCAACACCATCTACAATGCCATTGATTCCAAGGTGTTTGAGAAAATCATGGATTGAGAGAGAGCTAATGAGGTGTGGAAGAGATTAGAAGAAACATATGAGGGCACACCGATGGTGAAGAGTGCTAAGTTGTACATCCTCAAGGAAAAGTTGATAAGCTTTAAGATGAAGGATGATGAGAGCATTTCGGGGATGTTCCATCATTTGCAAGTGATTGTCAATGACTTGAAAGCTTTGGGAGAGAAGATCAATGATGATGATGTCTCTCATCGATTCTTGATGTGCTTACTCCAAGATTTGAGATGTTGAGATTGCTTATTATAAGAGGAGGATTGAAGGAGATCACCCCTAACCAAGTACTAGGTGATGTCATGACACAAGAGACATACCGTGTGGAAAGGGAAGGGGTTGACAAGGATGACAAGAAGGAATATGAAGACAAGAAGAAGAAGAGTGTAGCATTCAAGGCGAGCTCGTCATCAAAGAACAATGGCAAGTCCAAGAAAGAATCAAGTGATGATGAAGATCTTAGTGACATTGATGATGAGGCCATGACTCTATTTGTGTGCAAGATGGGTAAATTTATGAAGAAGAAGGGGTATGATGCAAACAAGAGAAGACATCACAACAAGGAGTATGTGAGGAGATGCTACAAGTGCAAGAGCCCCAATCACGTTGTAGCGGATTGTCCCTATAATAGTGATAATGATGAGGATGAGAAGAAGAAGCATAAGAAGGAGAAGAAGGAAAAGAAGGAGAAGAAGGAGAAGAAGATGACCTTCCAAAAGAAGAAGGGTGGAGGCTATGTGGTCACTTAGGATAGTGATGACTCTAGTGATGATGGCAAAAAATCTATCAAGAAAGCACTAGCAAGCATTGCCATCAACAACAAGTCCTCCATCTTCACTACAAGGATTTGACCCTTATAGTACCACTTGTTTTCGCAACACCACACATTTGGTTGCAATATTTGGTTCTATGGCAACAAACGTCATAATTGGTAGCAATATATGGGCCTTATGGCCACCAAAATTGTGTGTTGCGTTAGTCATAAACTCCGTTGTAAGAGGTAGGCGCTAATGCCATGGTGGAAAAGGTGGTTGCGGGTATGGGTGCCTATTACCACAGCTAGTGTTGAGTTGTGATAACATTGATGTTGCGTTGCGATAGCTAGGTGTTGTTGCCACCATTGTAAAGTTGGTTGCAAGTAGTTGAACATATGGTAATAAAGTAATTGCGCTGTCTTAATTTTGACCTGCATTGCAATAGATCAAGATCTATATTGCATCCAAAAATGATTAGTTGCAAGTAGTTGCGAATATAGCCACGATGAAACTTTGTTGCCTTAGCTTGCCCTACGTTGCAAAAGATCTTATTATATTGCAACCAAAAAGGCATTCATTGCATCTGTTGAGGTTCTATTGCCACCAACTTTACATGTGGCTATATTGAGTATATGTCGTTGCAAGAAGAGTGATATTGCCATTAAAATTTGTACATAGGCATTACTTATCATGCATCTGAGCCAAAAACAAAGGGGCCAGACTAGCCTACCATCCTAAAGTTAAAAGCTAGTAAATAAAAAAAACAAGAAAAAAATCACAGCACACGCAGAAGGTGGCGGTCCGGCCAACCTAGCGCAACACCTGGTGGCACCAGGCTTTAGCAGCATTGGGACATGATCAGCTCTTGGCCCATACAACAACTATATCTTGGTTCATGAGCTGCACAATATTTTTTGTTTGATTTAAGGCGTGGTTCATGAGCTGCGCAATATTGTTATGGACAGAGCAACGCCTCATCCATTGGCACCGTTTTGCATTCATAGTGCTTGCCCACATCCAGAGTCTTCACATGTTGCATTTACCTTATAAATTCTAATTTAAAACTGGAGAAATGCTACTCTATTTGTGTCGATCTCATCTTGCTAATCAGTGTGACACAGGTTTAATAGTTTACTAGAAAACCTGGGCGCGGCTTTGCCGCGCCATCTTGATCACCGATGTTATTTTATTGCGCTATAGTTAAACAATAGAGTATTGGAGCTCAATAAGGAGGTCTAAGGTGTTTGATATCTTCTCTCGTTTTGTTTGGCTGCTGTGCTCTCATTCTGTAGTTCAGCAATGTCACCCTACAATGACAAATTTACAAAGCATAATAACATGATTACAGATGGATAGCATGGAGGAGAGATAAATGTAGCTTATATAGCGGATAAGATCATAAGGGTACAAAAGCAGTGTCGACAATAAGTAATAAGAACTACATCAAGTATTTAGTAGAAAATAAATAAAGGTCAGTTGTTATGGCATTCTTCAATGACAATCTTCAATGAAATATTAGACAAAATAGCATATGTACTTATAGATATGATTGCTGTAGCAGCCAAAGACAAGCCTCTGATTTCTGCTGATAAACATGAGAATGCTGTTAAGAACTCAATTAAGTGTTTGCTATTCATTAGACGGGAAGGTACATTGCAACTACACATTCAATCCACGTCATCTTCGTTGTACGTAATCAGTATCTGTGAACACTAACTTGGGAACGCCTCCCTATCGCCAGAGCAGAGATGCATTTGACCCCTTCATGCATGTTGTTTTTCCTCCGACAAATCTGAGTGTATCCAGCTTTTATGTCTCTTTGGCTTATGAGTGGCCAATGATAATACCTACAACTTTGAAACCATGAACTGAGACCAAGGAAAACACAGTGTCTAACCGTACCAAGATAAATGTGATGGAATGCCTTAGCTCAAGCTGTAATTCTTAACATGACTTCTGCAGGCTAAATTAGCACATTCAGATAATTTTAGGCATGCACAAAGGTCATATTGTCACAAAGCTATAAGCATATGAAGACATATTATCATACTACGGCCCTGTTTAGATCCCACCCAAAATCCAAAATTTCCCAAGATTCCCCGTCACATCGAATCTTGCGGCACATGCATGGAGCATTAAATGTAGGTAAAAAGAATAACTAATTGCACAGTTTGTCCGTAATTGGCGAGACGAATCTTTTAAGCCTAAATAGTCCATAATTGGATAATTTTTGCCAAATACAAACGAAAGTGCTACAGTGTCCATTTTCCAAACTGGAAGGGATCTAAACATGCCCTATATCGTAATCTGATAACCATTCAGGAACTCCTCCATCTAGAAGATTTAGCTTTTCACTTTACATAAGACTTCAGTTGATTTAATAAAGTTCGATGCAAAATATAAGTTGTAACAGATTTGTTAGTGTGGATACAAGTTAATTTAATAAGTAATATAACATACTAATGCTGATAACCTACTTCTGGGCTCTAATTTACAGCACTGTGTATCACTACAGTGGCCAAGGCAAATGTCGAGCACATTACGCAGCTGTTTGCATATCCTGATATCAATGCATTGTAAGGTCCAGATGTCCATGTGTGGCAATGCTCTCAAAAGCTGAACAACATCAAATACTGTCTATTTAATAGATTGCCAGCACCTGGATGCATGATGCCCTTAGTTGATTGACAAATCATTTAAAATCTTCATTGCAATTTCAGATTTTAAAAAGTAATAGTGTATATTTAGAACTTCATTAACAAAATTGTCAAAATATGACCTCTTGCAGTGACTGATTTTTTAAGTTAGATGTGCTTGGATATGATTAGTGACCTCCATTATCTTCATATCAAAAAGTCTATGTATTCAAGAAATCATTTTTTTCACCTCTAAACGTCACAAGCCTCAACCTTAGCTGTCAGTGGCTGCACCTGAGTGCTATTTTGGCATTTTTTCCGTTTCTACAATAGCTAAAATTCAGATGCTTTTTTTAGTTAGAAACTGCAAGCAGGCAAGGGTGCAAGGCAAAACTTAGAAATGTCAGATTAAATCAAATTCAGAGTTCATGTTCTCTGGGTAGTAGCCTAACCGGAAATAATGTAATGATCTCAAATTAATGCCATAAATAGTAGTAGAAAAAAACATATAGTGGCTTGATTACAGAACAGTGATTTATCGGAGCAAAAATTGAAAATTGTATCATATACTTTTTGGTTTGCAGTAAGATATGCAGAGGTCGTTGAGTATATTTAATAAGCTGAACAAAAATGTGTACATTGAAAAGATGGACAAAGGCAAAACTGCATTAGCAATACCCTGGAAGGCTGGAACCAACACTTCCACTCCTATTTTTTCGGTGGAGATTATTGCTCACTGCACATGGTCTGACAGCTTAAAGATTGCCTCGGTTTATACCTAGCAGAGACAAAGAAATATTTTTATTGTTATTTCTTCCATAGAACTGCTTGCACTTGACCTGCTTATTTTCCAATTGAGATGAAATTTAGGTTACTTGCACACTCTTTGGTTCAAATGGTCTTTATGCGTATTGATTTGGAACACTCAAAATCCAATCTTCCATAGATGTTGATGCCATGGTAAGTTGAAGGTAGTAAGCAAAAACATTTGAAAAATTGATTATTACAATGTGGTACAGGATAATCTTTTCTACAGGCATTTTAGCAAACACATGATGTGCATAGTAAGAGAGTAACGAAATAGCTGTGAAGCACGCAGGGAGAAAGGGAGAGCGAGATTACCAGACGCCCCCGTCCCCCCTGTCATCGCAGCAGCAGTGCCTGCCAAAGGGCCTGTGAAGGCAGGGTGAGGGATGCTCCCGACGGCATTGGAGCCCAAGTTGGCACCGAAGTGGCGGAGCCCCAGAGCATGCTGGTGGAGAGCATAGTGGAGATGCACGGGCGGCGCTTCCAGTCCGTCGTGCATTCGCCACATTTCCTCTTCTTCCTTCCGTTGGCACACCAGCTGCTGACGCGCACCTGAGCTGCCTGACTGCATCTGAAGCGGAAATAGAAGGGAGGAGACATGTCGTCATCTTCATCTACTCTCTGGGCGGTCGCCCCGCAGGCTCTTGGCCTTCCTGCGGCGCGGGCATCGGGGACCACGAGGTGGGGCTGGGGCACTGGGGGGACTGCAGGACCCGGACGCTTTTGCGGGCGCCACCAGTTGCCTCAGCTTCCACCATGTTGGCCACGCCCGGGTTCCCGCGGCCTTGCCTGTGAAGAAGAAGTGCCCAGGGCGGACATCGGTTTTGCTACGGCGGGGTCGGTGAGGTGGCCCGAGCTCGAGCTGCGCCGCCGCGCTCGCGTCGAGGTGAAGGTGACCACCACCACAGGCCGATGAATCGAGAGAGTACGGGAGATATCGGGTCCGTGAGGGAGTGGCCAGAGGGAAAGAGGCCTGGACTGCGGGTTGATTCGACTAAAGTTCGAGAGTTTTTTTTGTAAAAAGACCGTGGCTCGTCCGATCTGGGCCGTCCGCGCGCCCGATCGAACGGCCGGGAAAAACAGGCGACGTGGCACGCTGGCTGGCCAGCTTTTGGAGGCAGGATTCATATAAGAAGATGTCATAGATGTGCTTAACTATTATCAAACAGTGACAAGATATTTACATTTATTTCCAATTTTCAACATTTTTTTCTGCTACTATTTTTTAATCGTTCACAATAAGAATAACAAGTTCTTATATAATGTCATCAGTATATCTTGATCCAGTAAGAATCAGGCTATATAGCTGATAACACGAACTTGAATATACACATAGATGTAAGTACCAGCTAGGTCCTCATAGATAGATATAAATGTACATAATAGATAGATACATGTACTGCATTTACAATATAGATGTCCATACTTAGATATTGCCAAAGTGCCTACATGATAACCTGCATAAGAACCAGCTAGGACCTGGTTAACCTACTGGGAATTTAGTTATTCTGGGGCTTGATCATTTCTCCATGTCCTCAAACCTGTCAGCAATGGCCACCATGGACTCTTTCATAGTCATGTCTATGTCCTCCCCCATGTCTTCAAGCTTCAGGTCTAGTTCTCAATCTCCTCTCGCATATCATCCATGTGCGATCTAAGTTGTTAAACCCTTTTGCTTAGGGGCTTGGTGACTTTCTACACCAGCCAACAAAATTTCAGTTAGTAACGTTAAATGCCTCAGAGCCGAACTAGCCAAGGCAGCCAAACAACCGCAGGTTGCACTAACCTTCTTCTTGGCTGATGCCGATGATTTGGTCCTTGCCCTTCCTTTCTTTGTCAGCTTCGCCTTCAGAATCAGAAGGATTGGTGCTCACAACCTAAAAACGGTTGATAGACATGGGTAATGTAGAGTGCAGAAAACATTTGATACACATGGCTAATGTAGAGTGCTGAAAATTTCAGGCAATGTGTGCTGAAAACATTTGAAAGGGTTACATGATCCAAACAATACTAGGTTGGACTAGCCTTCTTTTTTGTTGATGCCGATCCAAACAGTTGGTCTTTGCACTTCCTTTCTATTTCATATTCGCCTTCCAAATCGGAAATGACAATCAACCTAAAAAGTTTACAGATTAGGTATGTGAATGAAAATAAAATGTGTGTCATGTGAGCTGCATTTGTTCAGTTATGTGGATTATCTGTCATAGGAAACAACAAAATTTAGAGGTAGAAGACTTTTAACAATATTTCATGTCTTGCTTCATTGTTCTGCTAAAATTACCAATGCACAGTAAGGTGCAGCCAAGCATGCTTAAGTTGTGGTGCTCAAGCAAAACAAATTCATCCAGATTTGAGCCTTGTCTGAAAGAATGTAGTGACTGATTTATATTAGCAATTGCACTGGGCTCCTGATTTGATTAGAAATGTGTCGATGGTTGTTAGGCAAAATTGCCTTCGCTTAAGGACTTAAGGTTTAGTATTGTAGTCCAAAACTAACTTTTATCAGTGCTAACCCACTGCTAATTTTCTGGATCGGCCACTACAGCCATGGGAGGCTGAGGGGGAGCAGGGAAATGAGGAACACAAATCCACATGGAAAATAACCAATTACATGCCTCTGACAAAAAGAAGCAACTCTGGTCATGACAACGGCAATGGCTGAAAAAATAAATAAGAATAGAAGCACCAACAGAACTAAATTAAAGGACCATTGAACTTGGTCAATGGCCAGACTGAACACTAGCAATGTTACTAAACTGAATAGACAAGTAGACCATTCCAAACATCTGAGTTATCTTTCAGTTATTTTATTTTCAGATTGATAGGAGTTCCTTCCTTGAAACTGATATGAGTTCCATAATTTTCTGTAACATAGATCAGTAGTTTTTCACATTCTAGCTTTTAGGACACTCAGAACTCATACAGGAGCATGGAGCAAACTGAAATAAAACATTTATACTAATGTCGACTCACCTCATAAGTCATCATCAGCATAAGCTTTTCTAAGAACCTTACAGACACTCCATATATAACTAGCAGAGTTGCTGAATCGCCCTGCATCCCACATTGCATCTATACAGTAGCAGCATTCATGCTTCATGCCTACATAGCAACATTCAGTCATCAAAACAATTGTCTCACATGTCAATCAAAAGCAACACTCAGTTATTTTCATATGATTGTTAGACTTTGTTAGTCTGATAATAAAGAACTGAAAGCCTCTGTTAACCTGCATAGATGGAAAAATAAATATTGCACATGTGGCTGCAGGTAGAAAAGGAATGGTGAGAATTGAAAATGGAAGTGGGAGTTCACTGACTGTCAAAGAAAAAATAGAAGAGTTACAGCCGTGAAAGCAAAAGCAACATTTAGTCATCCAAAATATATCTGAGGAAATTTTTACCTCTGTCAACATGCAGCCACGGAGGAAGCAGTCCCCGTTGGGAATTGGATGGGTGCTGTCGTTGCCGCGACTAAAGGGGTGGGTGGCGGCCGCCTTGCAGTTGCTGCCATGTCCGACTGCGGGGGATGCCGTCGCCGCCGATGCGCCCTTGGTCTTCCTTGCCGCGGCTGCTTGGATCTATCCATCCCCCGGCAGATCGGGACACCGGGCCACGGATCCGGCCGCCTCCACCCCACGCGAAGAGGAGGCAGCGTTGTGGAGGCAGTGGGAAGGGGAGGGGAGCGGCTATGTTTGGGGTGGACGAGGTGGACACGGGGCAGGCAGCGGATTTTGGAGGGAGGAATGTGTGCGGCATGGTGCTGAGATGACGCCGCGGCGGCGGCGGTGGTGGGAGGAGGATCGGCGAAGTCCTCCTTGTTCTCCCCCGGCTTGCCCTGTTTCTGGATGGTCCAGGGCCTCGTGGGTTTGTTTCCCGCTAGGAGCCTCGAGACGAGTTTCATGACCCAGAATTTCCATAGATCGAAATAGTCAATTTTAAAAATAGTATAGACTATACAAATCATAGTTAAAAGGATTGTTTTTTAAAAAAAACTGCACGTATGTAGATAATGGCATGTTGAATATCCACAAAATGAAAAAAATTACCAACTCATTTAGATTTTCGTGATGAAAGTTTTTGAGAATGTTAAAAGGGTGTGGTTTGGTCCCTCGAAATTTTGAATTACACAGGTTTACAAACCACATATACTAGTTTTTTTTTCTTTTTGGGTCTCACAGTACTGACACAGATGCCTACAAATGTTGCTCCAATACCAAGTAACTCTAAGAAGTGGGTAGAAATCAGGATATATTAACTTATTAAGTTTCCATTAAAAAGGTATTCCCTCCATTCCAATATCATTAATGATATGAATATGAATCCGATAAATTTTTTAAATTAATATCATAAGATAGATTGTTAAATCTATTTTTTTTAATAAACTTATTTAGAGATTTAAATGTTGCAAATATTTTTCTATAAACCTAGTTAAACTCAAGAAAGTTTGATCAGTACAAATACCATATCAATACTTTAAAATGGATAGAGGGAGCACATACTACAAAAAAAATTATTTTTGGATTTTTGATATATTGATATTTTTAATCCCTAATTCTTATTTACATTATAAATTTTACCATCTTTTTTTGTTACTTATTGTTTAAATTTTTTACCTATTTCGTATTTATATTTACAATTTCTTTTCTATTTGTTACTTATATATTTTCCCTTTGGCCCAATAACACAAATAATATGTGCTTTACTAAACTAGGGGCCACATAATCATCTAAGAGGCACGACATCATCGTCCACATTTGAACTGTGTTTTTTAACCTTAACTGAACTAGGCTAGGGGCCATGATTGTTCACGAACATGACAGTACCGAATCATAGGATGAGGTCGTAGTATCGGGATACTATCACATTTGTACTATATTGGAAAGATTAAATGCTACCATTTTAATTTAAAAAAAAATAATTGAGTTTTGTATATGTAAGATCACTTGTAGACATTATGTTCCATGCAACTAGCTTTAGACAATATTTTAGTACATTTGAATTAAAAAAAACTTATTTATATCAATTATTATGTACTATCATAGTACAATTGTACCATGATACTATATATTCTTTGTAGGATCGTATGAAAACAATAGAAGAATCATTTAGAATCGCAATACGATATAGTTCATTTAGGATTGGTCCGTGATGAATGGGACCATTCCACACCGCAATACAAACGAATTCGCAGGCTCGGTTTTAGGTTTGGATGGTTCCAGGACCATCTCGTGACGCTATCCAAACACTGTGATAGTTTCCCTGATATGATCATAGTGATAAGATTGTAGGAAAATGCATCGGGGTCTTGACAAGCTTGGCTATATATGCTCTCAAATTACTTGCTACGTCATCAAATCATCTTGTCCATGTAATTTTCCCAGTAAGCGCCATGTCATTTTTAAGGGTTCGACAAGAATTGAGAAAGCCCAGTCCTCAAGAATTTGATATTTAGCGTGTGTTTGGATTAGAAATCATGTGCTATGGGTTGGCTCTATCCCTCTTTTTTGGGTAGGATTGGACCCATTCTTTGTTTGGTTAGAGGGATAGGGTTGCACCATGTTTTATGTTTGGTTCAAGAGGGGTTGAGATCGATCCCTAACAAATGGGCCCCATGTATCATTCTCTACCACCTTCTCTCCCCATCTTTCTTTGATCAGCCACCCTCCACAGCTCCGCCCGCGCCCGATCTTCGATGCTGCACAGCTCCCCCTGCTCCCGCCTCCACTCCCACCGCTCCCAAATCCGCCGCCTCCCACTCAATTGCTACCGAGGAGAAAGGATATTGAAAGGGGAGGAACACCCACTCGATCGTCAGCCATGGCCAGGGGAGAGAACCAGGAGTCGTAGACCGGGCTGCTCGGTTAGATCACCTAGCGTCGTGCCGCTGCTCGGTTACCATGGCCTCGGCTACACATCCGCCGCACATGCGCCACTGCTCAGGCCAGTTGCTCCCTCCGTACGGCAGGCTTCATCCGGGTCTACGTGGTTCGCCTAATTTGGTGGAGTCGGTCGAACCCGATATTCCCCATGGGAACAAACCCAACCCACTTGAACCCCAAACCAAACACTATCAAATCTGGGTCCAATCCATCCAACCCAGGTGAACCCTCAATCCAAACACACGGTTAGACATGCTAGAAGGATTTGATATAAAAAAATTGCTAATACCTAATAAGTATCATTATATTAGTTCTAGAATATATTTTCATAATAAACTTAGTTAGAGATATAAATATTGATATTATTTTATCTATAATTAGTCAAATTTAAAAAAAAAAAGGATCGAGGGAGTATAGTTTATCATTTTCTTTACTTCTGATGAGTACTCATTTAAAATCGATATGATTAGCTATATTTTGTGCTATTTTTGTAAACAAAATAATACGTACTTTTACCTTGCATTAGAAAAGTAGATAATTATTTTATTTGCCTATTTAGTATATTTTATTTTTATTAGGCTCTGATGATTATACCATTTTTTTCCACCACGCACGGTTTCCCTCCTTTAATTTTTGCAAGCAGCCCGCCAAAACAGCCACCGGTAGGATTAGATCCAATAATCACGCCTTTAATTTTCGGAATAGCCCACCAAAATACCCACCGGTAGGATTAAGGATGAAAACGGTCGAACTCGGTCGAAAAACTCCTCAACCGTTTTCTACTTTTACATTTGAAATACGAAAGCGAAAGCGAAAGCGGACAAGCCGGACACAAAAACGAATACGAACTTACGGAATATCTAGAATTTCGGAAACGAACCAATTCGAGCGGAATTATGTCGAACACGGTCGGTATGCGAAAATTTAATATGAAATACCGACCCATAGTGCATAGCATTAAACAAGTGCGCGACCAAATACATAACAAGTTCACAACTAACAAGTGCATGATCTAGTTCAAGTGCATAGCATTAAACAAATGCACGACCAAATACATAATAAGAGAGATAAGGTTGGACGCCGTCTATAAGAGAGGGCAGCTAGCCACCAGTAGAAAGAACGCAGCTACGTGGTGAACAGCCTGTAATTGGGCTGTATGACCTGTGCAGTTGGCCAAATTCGGTTTAAACCGAATTTTGAATTCGGAATATTTCAAATTAAAAGTAGAAAAGTAGAAAACGGTCGAAAAATGTGTAAACCGTTTTCTACTTTTACATTTGAAATACGAAACATCTCAAATGCGAAAGCGAAAACGGTAAAATCGGACAAGAAAATACGAATTCGATCGGATTAAATATAGAAAACGATGCGGTTCGGTTCGGGATATTTCCATTCCGTTTTCATCTTTGGGTAGGATTAGATCCAATAATCACGGCACATAACTCCTCCCACCACGCCTTTCGCGTGCCCCTTTCCTGAAACCGTGGGGCGGTCATTTTTTCACGCTAGGTAAAGCGACGTGGGCAACCACGGAGACCACGACGGCGGCTTGATGGACACACCCGCGGCGGCTGCCTCCTCCGACGCCATACGCAAGCACGCCATGATGCCACCTCCTTCGTCCGCACCTCCATCTTCCGCACCTCAATCTTCAGAAGAGAGGCGCCGTTCTCCTAATGAAGATCACGTCCAGGAAGAAGATGACAGCCATGATGTTGATGGCTCAGGGACACTACGTTTTCTCTACAGCAGGTACGTGCTACTGTTGTTGTTAGTTGGCGTACGTGATGGGTGTCGACCGATCGATCAAAGCTGTTTGGGCGCATGCGTGCGTGTTGTAGTGTTGCAGGCGCGTGCGTGCGTCGAGGAAGAGATCATTCAATCTGCATTTATCTATCAAAGCTGTTGTATAAAGTATGCCTTGACGAATAACTTTCCTGCTTAGCATAAAGAGATCTATAATATTTATATTTGGATTAGTATCTGATATTATTTTAGTTCATTCGATCATCACCGCTGGCACAATATTTTGCGTCTGCTAATTGCTGAACCTGCATTGTGTATGAACAAAAAGCAAATTGCTGAATCTGCTGACAATCAGGCATATTTAAATTTCTGTGCTATTTTGTATGCATCAATAAGCAGTCCTGATGCATATTGCTTAACCTGCTGACATACTGTTATGCCCGCACTATTTATATTCGCTACCTGATGCATATAATTTATATTGCCAACAATTTATACTGAAACTGTTGAACCTGCTTGATTGCCTGATTGCCAATAGTGATTGTCAATAATTTATGCCCTCACTATTTATATTGCCTGATTGCCAAACCTGTTCATGCATATATTTTATATTGTTCCAATAATTTATATTTGGTTTTTTAAGTTTGATAGATGAGTGCCGTGCGTTGCAACGGGTGCAACATAAATTGATTCCATGATTATAGCATTTACTTGCCTTCCATTTTATTTACTTGCCTTCTAGTGTCTCCATGCGGTAATTATTTGCCTACCGGATATGGATCGCATGAGTGTTTTGGTCCTGTCGGGTAGATGTTGACAATACGAATGTTTTAGTTGGTAGAGATGAGTCCATGCTAATAGAGAAATTATTAATCAAAGCCTCATTATAATGAGAAAAATATTGCCTCTTGTATTGCAATCACATTTTGCTAATTTTGTTGGATTCAAGTCTAAGTAATATCTTACACCACACAATGATGTTTTTCTGCTCTATATGCATACAGTGAACCATTGACGGGTGAGATGTGTACAATTTATTTCCAATGCAAGGGGAAACCTGAGGACGACGAATTCGTCAACACTGATGTAGACATAGCTCTTATCCCATTTCATAACCTGGTATATTTTAAA